AGAAGTAGAAGAGGAAGTCACAAAATTGTGCTTAATGACACATAAACTTTTTCATTCATATTAAGAGGAGGTTTGCGACTTATCCTATGATTAATTATTTGACGTTTATGAGAAAATTCATAATGCATATAGGAAGCTTAAAAAAGTTACATGCTAATTTTAACCTCGAGCATTTAAATTAAAAAAAAAATAAATAAAAATCTTAGGAATGATCGTGCATTCATATATAAAAACCACATGGAAATTTGAAAGAATTTGATGATTTGAATAAGAAACAAAATTTATTAAAAACACCCCATACTAATCTAAAGAATAATTTTACGGTGTTCATGACTTAAACAGAAAAAAGAAAACGTGTTGAAAGCTTATAATTCAGTTTTATAAAGTGCAAAGTCACATCTTAAAGAATATTTGAAAGGTTTAAGGATAATAAGACACCTCCCACACTTGAATAAAATGTATAATTTCAAAATTTAGGAAAAGATATTATAACTCATATAGATTAATAAATCTTTGTCCTGGTGTTAAATACTTTCATGTTGAATGATAGGACATATTTCCCACTCTTACACAATTCATAATAGAACACATCTAGTGTGGAGACCTAAGATGCATAAAATATAGCATATCAAATATGCATCTAGATTTTCATTGTCAAGAGGTGAACCCAAATTTATTTGGGTTATCAAATCTATCATTTGATAATTTTATAGAAATGCTTTAATACAAGGTCTTGCGAGAGCATGTGGTACTTGGATAGCAAATATTCAAAACAAATTACTTGAGATACAACACAATCCATCTCGTTGGAGGCCAGGGATGGAGACAAAGTGACACTAGGAGATACTATCTTTAGGAGAGTGGTAGGTACATGTATGATTTGTAATAAGAATAGTTTCTTTATTGAGAATGTTTTATTGGTTGAAGGATTAAATCATAACTTGTTAAGGATTACTTAGCTTTGTGGTAGAGGTTTAAACAATAAATTTTTACCTACAAGATGCAATATAAGACAAAATGGAATTAGTGTGTTGCATGCAAATAGAATAATTAATATATACTTGCTAGATTTAAATTATGTTAAATCTTCTAATACTTTTTTTCTTAAAACAATCACTGATGAATAATGGTTATGTGATAGAAGACTTTGTCATGCAAACATGAAAAATCTTAGAAAGATTACCCAAACAAATTTGGTTAGAGGAATACACAAATTAGACATCACTAAAGATCATCAGTGTGATGCATTTTAGTTAAAAAACTATGTCAAGTCCTCCTTCCATTCAATTAAAGATCATTGAACTAGTAAACCAGGAGAAGTCATACATATGGACTTTTTGGATCAGTTAACACTATAATTTTAGGAGGGAAAGTTTTTAGGTTTATAATTGTTGATGATTATTAAATATTTACTTGGATTAGATTCTTATCTCATAAGAGTAAATTATTTGATGAATTTAGACATTTTTCTTCTTGGATTCAGAGGAAGCTAGGTTGTGAAGTTCTTTCAATTCAAAGTGATCATGGAGATGAATTTTAAAATGAAAAATCTAAAGTTTTCTATAAAGGGCAAGGAACAGATGATAACTTTTGAGACCTAGGACCCCTCAACATAATGGGGTTGTTGAGAGTACGAATAGAAATTTGATAGAAGACTCTAGTTATGTTTTGAATAGGGTGAATATTAGATCAAAGTTGAACAAGACACCCTATGAACCTCTCAAGGGAATAGTGCCAAACCTTTCATATCTATATATCTTTGGATGTAAAGTGTTCTTTCATATTAATGGTAAAACGCTTTTAGGAAAATTTGATCCTAAGTCAGGTGATGGAATTTTTCTAGGATATTCAATTGTTGGCAAACCCTATAAAGTTTTTAACAAAAAGATTTTGGTTGTTGAGGAGACCACTCATATAGTTTTTAATGAATTTAATATTTTTGGAGGGTCTAACTTGGATGCAGAAGATGTTGAATCAATAACACAAGAAATTAATTATTCAATTCTTGAAGAAAGGATTGAAACATAAAATGTATTGCCTCGAGATAGAAAATATCCTACGAGTCATCATAAAGAACTATTTTTAGGAGACTGAAGTGAAGGTGTTAGGACGAGTTATAGACTTAGCAAAGAAGTGAACCACTCAACCTTTATTTTAATGATCAACTCCACTAATATAAATCAAACACTTTCTGATAAATTTTAATTTTAGCCATATAATAGAATTGAATTAATTTTCTATAAATGTTGTTTGAGAGTTAATTGAAAAACCTAAACATTAAAGTGTTGTTGGGAAAAAGTGGGTTTTCAAAAACAATATGAATGATTCAATTGTAGTGGTTAGAAATAAAGTAAGCCAAGGGATACAATCAAATAAAAGGAATTGATTTTAAAGAAACATTTTCTCCTGTAGTCATACTTGAAGCGATAAGGGTGCTTCTAGCCTTTGCATGTTTTAAAGGTTTTAAATTATTTCAAATGGATGTTTAAAGTGTCTTTCTTAATGGGGTGATATAAGAATGATGTTTACGTTGAGCAACCTCCAGATTTTGAAAATTCACAATTCCCTAAACATGTGTTTAAATTGAAAAAGACATTATATGGACTAAAATAGGCAGCAAGGGCATGATATGAAAGGCTATGCACATTCCTAGTAGAAAAATCATTTGTTAAAGGAAATGTGGACACCACCCTCTTTTTAAAAAGATTAGGAGATGATATAGTCATTATTTAAATATTTGTTGATGATATCTTGTTTGGATCCACTAATAAAAATATTTATTATATTTTTTAAAATAATGATTAGTGAATTTGAAATGCGTTTGATAAGATACATGGGTTACCTTCTTGGTTTTATCATATATAAGAAAGAGAATGATGCATTTTTTAGTCATTTAAAATGTATTAAGGACATCCTTAAAAAATATGAAATTGATAAAGCTAAACTAATTAGTACACTAATGAGTTTCTCATTGTAGTTGGATAAGGACTATAAAAAAAATTTGTTGATCAAAAGAAATTTAAAGCAATAATTAGATGATTATTTTACTTAACTGCTAGCAAACCAGATATCATGGTTAGTATTTATCATTGTGCTAGATTTCAAGATGATCAAAACGAATCCCATTTGACCATTATTAAAAGAATTCTGAGGTCTCTTAGTGATATGGTATCCCAGGTATAGCTCTTCTTTTAAAACCATTGGACATTCTAATTTAGATTATGCAGGGTGTAGGGTTTATAAAAAAAGTTATTCTTAAACTTGTCAATTTATTGGAAACTCTTTAGTTTCTTTGTCTAGTACAAATAGAATTTAGCAGCCTTTTCTACTTGAGAAGCAGAATATATTTTCTTAGGTATGTGGTGACGTGGTACAGGTTCTTTAGTTAAACAAATAACTTATGAATTTAGGATTTTTAATTGGCACTAATCTAGTTTTCTGTGATAATATAAGTTCCATATTCATTTCAAAAAATTCTATTCAACACTCAAGAACCAATCATATAGATAGAAGGCATCACTTCATCAGAGACCATGTAACTAAAGGAGAAATTAAGATGAATTATGTAGCTATTAAAAATTAACTTGCAGAAATTTTTACAAAATCACTTGCTTTTGAATTATTTAGCACCTTATGAACCATATTGGGTGTTATTGAAATTCATTCTTGAAATTTTAAATTCAACAAATTCCATTTGTAATATTTCTTAGTGTTGATGTTTATGTCTTGTTTGTTGTTTGTGATTTTTCTTTGTTTGTTTTTTATGTATTTTTTTTAATATTTTGGGTTTGAATTCTCTTTTGTATTTTTTTTTTGTGTCTTATGGATCTTGGTTAACTTATTTTTAAAAAGGAATCATGATTATCATGCGTAAATCAAAAAAATTGTTTTCTAATTATAATATACGAACTACTTTCGTACTGTAAGAAATCACTAGATTTGGCATGATAAATTTTTTATGTTTATAATTTGAAAATAATTTTTTATAAACATATGATCTTATATGAATACTTCATCGTACTATACAAACTTTTTATTTTTCATCTGTATGAATTGGGAGGGAATTCGAAGTGCAATTATTTTTCAAAGATCTTCCTAAACGAACACATTTCGTTTGTACGATCCTGTTATGAACTTGCATATGGATGAACCTAATTTCCATAGTACAATCATTATTATCTAATCATCCTGAATGAACACCTATTCATCTATATGATCATTTTGGTTAAAAAGTAATATAAAATGACTTCTAAGGAATGGCAGTTTATGAAAAGTCATTTCATTTTTGGTCGTTTCTATTCGTATATACAAAAATTATTTTGTCTTGTATAGACATAAAGTCATATGTACAAACCTAGTTTCGTATTGTACAACCATCCCAATTTCTTTAAATTGAAAGGTATTCATTGAGTTTTCTTCACATAGTCTTTAAATCACAAATCATCTGGTGTTAAAAACTCTTCAAATGGTAAGCATCAACAACAAGCAGACTCATCATTCTAGCGACTCTTCTTCCCGTTCTAGTCAATTAGACAAAAACTTTCTTTCTAAGGAAAATGAAGAAGCCTATCAATGTTTCTTTGAGGCCAAAATTACCCCATATCATATTTTTTTCCAAGATGAAATCAACTTTTCTGTAATGTCTCTTTTTTATTCTACCTATTTTTCTTTCATTCTCACCTTAATCTATGCATATTGTTCTAAAGCATTTTATCAATTCCTAGTAATTCTAAGAATGAGGGTGAACCATGCCAAGATATCTTCATATGTGTTTAAAGAGAGGGTAGAGATTACTAAAGAATATTTAGGGACTTCCCTACATCTTAGATTTGAAGGGATAAGGGTACACACTATGACTTCTAGAGATGATTTTGACTGGTCTTCCATAAATCAAACTCTAAGAGATGTACCTTCAGTTTATCACCAATCTCGTGTATATACTTTGAACCAAAATGACAGGATCATCAAACATATTTTCTGAACATCTATTATTCTTAAAGTTGGTGATCTTATTAAGCTCACTCTTTTGCTTTCTATTATCACATATCTTATAATGTCAAACACTCCAATTGATGAATCCAATTCTATTGTGGAGTACATTAATAATCTTACCGACATTAGACTTCCTACCACTACAAGGAAGAATAATATGGCTTTAGGTCCTTTGGTTGCCTATGTGCTTGAAAGGAAATATAACTTGATTCATCCTGATCCACCAACTCATCTTCCAATGTACTTTACTAATGCTTCCTTTCATTCAATATTTCATCAGGATCATGGGGTTTCAAGAGATGATGTTGGAGAAGGAGAAGCTCTTGCAACTGCACCTACACCTGCTCCTAGATAATTTGATCATAATTTTATCAGGAAATAGTCCAATATTTTAATCGACTTGAGTCTCATTTTGATCAATGATTTGATCATGTTGAAACTCGCTTAGACCAGTAGGAAGATATATATAATGAGGATATGGGTTGGGGTAGAGGGCAGTTTGATTCTATGAACACTCAAGTAGCTACCATTAATATCTACTTTACCATGTTCTCTCCTCCTCAACCACCTCCAGATCAGTCCACCATGGCACCATCATTGACATCGTTCGAGTGCCCAATATGGACATGGTGGCTCCCAGACTCTATTTAATAGTGCTATAATGTTAGAGGAGTCAACGTTACAAAGCACAATCTTTATTTTTAGGGCACTGCAGTGCCAATTTCAAACACTACCAAGCCAAGGGGAATGCCACATGGACACCAAAACACTAAATCATCAGGTGCACCTCATCACAAAAATTATAACAAATCAGGACATGCTCGACTAGTGAACGATGTATTTATTCACTAAATAGTGGGTCCACATTACCAAGTGCCACAGCAGAGGAAATATTTCAGCACTGCGACATTAGTTCATTTTATGGAAAATGTGGTGCAAGTGTCTCAAGCACCACGGTGCTAGAATCCATTATTTTGATTATTATATAAATAGTCCATTTATAATGTTAGTAAGGGAGTTCAACCACTTAGTTAATTTCAGTCTTCAAACTGCTTTTCTGTAATTTCCTTAGAGGTGTTAATTAAGGTAATTCAAGGGGAAATACATCAACTTTATATGAGTGTTTGGTCAATATTTATTATAGAAGTAATTTTGTAAGTTCAAAGGGAAGTGTAGAGGAGATCCTTGAACCCATTTGGTGATATCTTTTCTTCTATACTTTCTTTCCTTTATGCAATTAATAAGAATGAGTTCGTTTCACTTGTTCTTTATGTATAACTAAATTCTTTAGTTTTAGATTAATGGTGTAAATGGAATATGGAGTACTAATGAATACTCTTCATCATTAATTTTATGATATTTCTAATGTATCATATCTTCATTTAATCTATGTAGTTTAAATATGTGTAGTTAATATCAGGTGTAATGTGAACCCTAGTAATAGAAAAGTAAGCATAATTATGTATTTTGAATATGTATGATGCAAGCATAGGCAAATCCTCTAGCTTTTTGGTTTTTTTTTCTATCGTAGTTTCTGTATGTTTTGTTTCTCTTGAGTATTTAGGTGATGGATTGAGATGTTTTGTAATTTTGTATGAAGTTGTATTTGCATTCTATGTTGGAAATAAAATGCTTGTCTTTAAATTAGTTTTAATTCATTAAAATTATCTTTGAGTTTCTATTATTCAAATTACTAATGTGTATTTAAGAGAAAATTTTAAAATATCTTGCAATATAATTAAATTTCCGAGTATAAATGTTTGTCCTTCTTAATTTAAAATCAACTTTAAATTAGATTTTAAATAATAAGATCATTTCAATTTTCTAACAATTTTTTATCTTATAGTCATAATTGTTGCAAAATTGGTAACTTATTTAGTCTTCTATTCTTATTCAATGTGTTGATTTTATTCTTAACAATAGGATTTTGTTTTGTGGATTATTTTTCTTTATAAGCAAAAGTTTATTCTTTTGTTTAAAAGATAATAACACAAGCTAGAGTTTGATTGTGGAAAGAACAAAATGTCTAAAATTGCATAAAATGTGCCAAATTTAAAAAGTTATACAAAATGAGCCCAACATGAAAATATGTGCAATGTTCGCCAAATTTGAAAACATGCACAAAATGAGCCCAAAATGAAAATTTGTGCAATATTCACTAGTCAAATAAATCTTATTGGTTAAGAGGCATAAAATGAGCCCACGCTAAATTTAGTTCTTTCCTCTATATTATTAATTCTTAGAAAAATCCTTGCATTAAATGATAATTTCAACTATTGAAATTGAAATTATAATAATTCTATTTAATTAATTTTGCAATCATCACTCTATTTGTTATTTCTACTTTCTAGAGCGAACATTGAACTGTTCAACTTTCCTTATCTAAATTGTTCTTTGATTTAGTATTTGAGCCTTTCTTTTTCAATTAAAACTTTAATATTATCTGTGCAAATAGGTTAAAGTTCTCTTATTTATCATCTATTAGATTTGTTTATAGCAACTTACTTTTCAGGAGATTTCTTTCTGATGTCAACAAAGGGGAAGTTATTATTTGTGTTTGTTTGAAGTCTTCTAGTTTTTGTTTTGGTATGTTATATGTTTTTATGTTTTGATTTTGTGTTTTTGCATTTTTGGCTTTGGATTTTTTTTTTGTTTAATTTAAGTTTGTTTAGAATTTATGTTTGTGTTCTATGACATTATGTTCTCAGGGGAGTATGTTTATGTTTTTTGTTTTCTTGTGTTTTCTCTTGTGATTTGTGTCGTACTAGCTTGTGTTGTGTTTATCTCTAAAACAAAAAATAAAAATGGGATGAGTTATTATTTCCTCATGATTTTTATGTCGAACTTCATTGATGAAGAGTTTAGGAGAAAAGAACATTATTTGTGACTCAAATAATAATTATTTTTGTCATCCTAAAAACTGGGGAGATTGTTGAAACTCAAGAATTTAGATTGAGAATATGATTTTTTATGATAAAAAAATATTACTATTTTGTTAATTTATTATTTCTCCAAGTATGTACTCGATATTTTTTATTTGGTATTTGTGTATTACTATTTTAGGAAATTCATATTATACACTACTGAAAACTTCAAGATAGAATATATTAGGATTTCATGTAATGAAGTCTATAAATTGTTATTTTTTTTTATTTTTCTTGAGTCTTAAAAAGTGTGTTTATAATTAGGTATCCACACACATACAAGGGATGATAGACTCAAAATTTAAAATTTTAAAACTAATCGTACTATACGACCTCTAATCATACTATATGATTTGTCTTATTTATCCTCCAAAATATAGTTAATGAAATCATGACATATATTTTTGTATTGTTCATACTGTATGAAGTTAGTTAGTACAAATGTATGATAGTGTATGAAATCGGGTGCGTACAAGTTCATTTCAAATGAATTTAATTATTTTTGGATTGTTCGTACAATATAATGTTAGTTAATACAAATGACTAATAATGTACGAAATTGGGGGTCGTCCATGTTCATACCAAACAAAACCTGATTTATGTTAACTATTCATACTGTATGATATTCTTTCTTACAGAAGACTGATAGTGCATGAAATAAGATTCATGCCATCTTATACCAGATGAACATATTAAGTTTTGAACTATTCATACATTACAATATAAGTTCGTATAGAAAAGTAACAATGTTTGAAATACATTTCATACAGGATCGTACCTAGTTTTTTTGAATTGTTCAAACAGATGATCGACGATTATATGATACGATATTAAGTCGGTTCACTTTTAATTTTCAATTTTTTGGATGATTTTCTTGTATTTTAAAAATAAGATGTCCTAAAACTGCCAGTCAATACCTTTACTAAGATTCTCTCTTAAGAGTGCCATTGAGTGTGAGTGTTTTGGAGATATTGTGAGAGTGAAGTGTGAGAGATCAAGTGAGAGGGTGTTGTGAGGAATTCACAAGGTTGCCCAAAGTGATGATCTCTTTATCTTCTTTAAATTTTTGCTCATCTCCTCTTGAGGATTTTGGGAGAAGATCTTCTTGTCGAGGTACTCTGCCTTCACCATGAGAGTCAAAAAGGATGAAGGTTCTCTGACATCACCAAGTGTATGTGAAAGGATGAATGTTCTCTGCCTTCACCTAGCTGGTGAGAAGGACGTTGGTACTCTGCCGCATCGGGTTTGTGGAAGATTATTTGTAAGGGCTTCTCTACCTTGTTGTGCAGGCAAAAGGAGAGTCACTTTGATTTAGTGCAATACCTAGAGAAGGAGTCTCCAGGGAGTGGAAGTAGGTCTAGTTTGCACCGAAGCACTATAAGTTTGGTGTTCTTCTATTCACTTTTATTTACTTATTTTTTATTTTTCTACACGTTAGAGTTTTTGTGGTTGAAAAATCTATTAAGACAATCATATCTAAAATAAATGCATACTAAAGGATCGTTGCTAAAATTTTCTATAGACGGTTTTCAGGAATATAAGAATTTGTTTTTAATTACCAATTCACTCCCCTCTTGGTTAGCCTTGGGATAGTTAAATAAGGTCTAAAAACCTACCTGAGCTTTCAAAAATGATCTATGACACACTTTGAAATTAGAAACATTTTTATCCACCTTTTTTTGACAATATACTATTTAATTTTTGGAAAATTTGCATGGCTAATTTTCTTCAATCTATTGATTTTCACCTGTGGTATTTGTTAATTGAGTTAAACAAGAAATATATGTCACTAAATGGAGTAATGAGTGTAGAAACTTATCTTAAATGAATGATGTCATGACCTAGCAAGACTAATGGTTCAACCCAAGCATGCCTAAGTGGTCCCTCAGCTTGAAAATGACCCCGTGTCAATTTCACCTTATACAACCACTCTCCTTGCTCTCTAATAATGCTAGCAACTTTCCTTCATCCAAGCATTGTACCTGATCAATCATAACCATCCTAACGGGCTCCAACAATTGAGTTGGGTAAGACATTTCAAAATTATCATTCAAACCATATTCACTATCGATCAAGCAATTCTAAATACTTCTTAGCATTTCTCTTTGCTCTCCCAAATGTCCCTAAGCATCTTCTAGCTACTTCCATATATTCTAGAGCCTTCCAGCATTGAGGTTGATGGGGATCTTACTAGCTCGTCCATCCAAACTCCTTCAACCTTCCATCTAATCATTTTTGGGGCTTGAGTTCATCTGCAATGTTGCAAAGGAGCTCTAGATAAGGAAAAGCAGCTATCAAACTTCCTCGTAGATCAGTTGTGTGAAGGTATATTCAAAACCCTAGGATCCAGGTTATATTTTTAAATAGCTTCTAGTAGAATTCATCAAAACTCATGAAATCACTTCCCCATCTATCCTTCAATCATTTTCTC